GTGCAGACAGGCCCCTCATCTGATGCTTTTAGTCCTATCAGACGTTTCTCTCCGAGTAAAAAAATGCAAAGAAAACCAAGAGAATTGAAAAGTCTCTGCTTCTTAAAGTCAAAAAAATTTAAAAACAGAAAAAAATCAACGAGAACTAAAAAAAGAAAACAGAGCTAAATGAAATATCTCTTAACTGTCACAACTTGTGAGATGCTGATTATTGTCCCTGATGGTATGAAATAAACTTAAAACATGAGGTAAACGATTTCATGCCCGATAATTAAAAAGAAAAGATTCTACAAATATTAGTCAGCTGATTTTTAGCTTTGCTTTCCTGAATTCAATTTCCCAAGATGCAGATTTAGATGTAAAGTGAAATTATTGGCAACAATACATTTTAGTAGGCAAAATGTTGCATGCTTTTATTCATAACATATGGATCTTTATCTTCGTCAAACTGAACAAAAATTAACGAGTTTAAAACGACTGACCCCACATTTGCACAGTTTTAGAAAATAAAGTCTTCACCATAAATATATAATTACTAATGATACACTTTTCTTTTATAAGAACAATAATGGCAGGTGTTTGAAAGTATATATATTGGGGGGGGGGGGGGGGGGGAGATGATAACTACAGCGTGACAGCAAAAATGTGAATGTTCCAATTAAAATGCCAAATTTAGTGCAGGTACTCATATCATCAGCATTTATAGTAAGAACCAAATTTACTCTTCTGGATAAAGATTGAAAAGAAAAATATTATTTCCATTTTAAAGGAGTGTTATTAGAAGAAAACATTTTCAATAGACAGTCAAATTGTGATTAAAAAATATTTTATTATAAATTATAAATCATTTGAAAAAATATGAGAAAAAACAGCATATTTTTTTAAATTAACTGTAACATTATTAAGAATAATAACAGTCTAATATGTTTCATTTCTAATTATAGGCAGTGCTTCCCAGAATACTCATGGACATCATTCACAACATAAATTAAGTGAAATCACACAGATACAAAAGCACTGAAATAGTTCTGAAATAAACCAGAATGCAGTAAATATTGTTCGCAGTGCTAGAAACACCTAATACAGCAAAACCAGTAATTTACCTGGAAAAAAAGCCTATAAATCTGCTACATGTGCGCAGCCCCAATCTTCATTGTGTTCTCATAAAGCACAACATGACTAGAACCACAAAAACTCTGTAAGCATCAGATTGTATGCGCGACTGCATATTAATCTGGAAACATAAAAAAAAATTCAGTGAGTTAAAATCTAAATTTGCATGAAATCCTCTCTCTGTGTGTCTGCGTTTATATTATTTCCCCTGTCCTCTGATCAGCAGGTGGTTTGGGTCTGCAAATGCGTTATTAATGAATAATAAATATCAGCTGTTATGATACTATTGATTTTGGAGCGTGTTTGTTAAGAAGCTGCTTTTCTCTGTTGTACAACAGCATCTCGGGCCCGATCCCCTCGGAGCAACCCAATCCAGGACTTTAAAGCTGCAGGATCTTAACCCAGGGCTTGGGGACCCCTGGGAGCCCCTCAGTGGAAAAATCCAGTGGGTCACCAGAAAAATGAAAAACAGATAGTTTATGACTGGATATAAAAATATCACACTTTTGATCTAATCCAAAGTGAGATAATGCAAGAATTTCATCACCCTGGGTTCTAATGAAAAGTTTTATGTCTTTGAGGTCCTGAACTTCAGAAACATGGATTATAAATGTGCAAAGAAACAGTGATACCTTGAAGTTGCAGTATTTTAGATTGATTTTCCTTCTTTTATAAGGAACAGACATGCACATTACACAGCATGCCTACTTACTGCTGCATCAAGTCACATCTTCTGTCACAGAAATCTAAATCTAGGAAAACAGGAATACTGCATAAAGTCCTAAAACCTAAAAACAAGTTTTTTCCATATTTGCAGGTTTGCTCTGTTTGCATTTTCAAACTGTTTGACTTTACTTACTGTATATTGGCTGCAACAGAAAACATACATTTTAGTATGTTTACTACCATTTGAATCTCGCCAAAGCGTCTGAAGTGTTTCACCAGAATATTGACGTATCATCTCTGTATTTTAAGTTCAGAAGGAGAAAAATCAACTTCTGTATTGTGCATTTGTCAATATTTATAGATATTCTTTGCCTACCAGACAGTGGCTGGCATGTTGGTCTATAACAAAGAATGTA